TCTTCAAGTCAGAAAAGGGTTTAAGGACATGTATACTATTTTAAACCAAGTTACTATACCTTTAGAGTTTGCATCAGAACAAAAATGGGGAGGTATTCGAAATAAGATTGTTGAAAATTAGAAAAAACAATACATTTTTGTGTTACCAAGGTTTCAAAAAATACTAAGCTTTGTTGGTTTCAATATAAAATTATTCATTATATTTTGGGTACAAACGCTCTATTCTTTAAAATGTACCTTGTAAGCTGTAATTTATGTACATTTTGCAAGGAAGAGCCAGAATCTATAGAACATTTACTTTGAGGTTATCATATTGTAGCCGACATTTGGCACAATCTGAATTCTTGGATTTTTTATATAATAGAACATATCGAAATTCCACTAAATTTGGATATTGTGATTTTTGGCCTTTATGAAAATTATAAAATGAATTTTCTCAAAAATAAAGTTATTTTACTGACACAGTACTTCATTTAGAGATCTAAGATGCAAGATGTAAAACCACATATCAAAGGACTTCAAAATTACATGAAAGAAAACTTGATTTTAGATAAACATATTTCTTCCAAAAATTTGAGTGTGTAAGAATACAACTTGTACCGGAACCCCTGGGCTAAGGTCACTGATTGAATTTTAACGGTGTAAATCAGAATACATGTGTGTTTATATTTTATGTGTATATGTATATTTGAATGAAATTGAGGTAAATTATATGGCCTTCCAAATACCGTTTCGATTCCTAACATCACTGAAGAGACATTAATTTTCGAAATCCGGATATGGTGTACTAATTTTTACACGTTCTGTTTGCAGTATACCATCTTTTCCGCAAGTTTATTGTTTTATGTTTGGTATTGAATTAATAATTAAGATCCATTTTGTTACATCTGGTGATTCGTTTATTTGGCAATCGCCAATGGCAGTCAGCAGGGTTTAAGAACATCAGTTGTTCGACCTGCTAGTCAAATGCGTTTTGTTAAAATATACTTTTTCACTTTTTTGGTCTTTTGGAAAATGTTGTTTGTGCTGTATTTAGACCCCTCTACCAAGAAATTTGTTTTGCATGCACACGTATAAAAATTGCGGTTTTTATCCAACGCAATCATAGCTTTGAACGTTGTTTTCAATTTAGACTTGTTTATATTTTTGCGTTTGGGCTTGTATCATATTTGCCTTCGGGTTTATAAGATCCGTTCATCCTATTCCGACTCTTCAAAATCGAAGAGTCTATCCTTAATTGAGGTAAATTAGAATGGCCTTCCAAATACCGTTTCGATCCCTACATCACTGAAGAGACATTAATTGTCGAAATCCGGATATGTTGTACACATTTTTGCACCTCATATTTGCGGTATACCATCTTTTCCGCAAGTTTATTGTTTTATGTTTGGTATTGAATAAATAATGAAGATCAATTTTGTTACATCTGGTGATCCGTTTATTTGGCAATCGCCAATGGCAGTCAGCAGGGTTTAAGAACATCAGTTGTTCGACCTGCTAGTCAAATGCGTTTTGTTAAAATATACTTTTTCACTTTTTTTGGTCTTTTGGAAAATGTTGTGTGTGCTGTATTTAGACCCCTCTACCAAGAAATTTGTTTTGCATGCACACGTATAAAAATTGCGGTTTTTATCCAACGCAATCATAGCTTTGAACGTTGTTTTCAATTTAGACTTTTGTATATTTTTTCTTTTGGGCTTGTATTATATTTGCCTTCGGGTTTATAAGATCCGTTCATCCTACTTCGACTCTTAAAAATTCAAGAGTCTATCCTAAATTGAGGTAAATTAGAATGGCCTTCCAAATACCGTTTCGATCCCTTACATCACTGAAGAGACATTAATTGTCGAAATCCGGATATGATGTACACATTTTTGCACCTCATATTTGCGGTATACCATCTTTTCCGCAAGTTTATTGTTTTATGTTTGGTATTGAACTAATAATTAAGATCAATTTTGTTACATCTGGTGATCCGTTTATTTGGCAATCGCCAATGGCAGTCAGCAGGGTTTAAGAACATCAGTTGTTCGACCTGCTAGTCAAATGCGTTTTGTTAAAATATACTTTTTCACTTTTTTGGTCTTTTGGAAAATGTTGTTTGTGCTGTATTTAGACCCCTCTACCAAGAAATTTGTTTTGCATGCACACGTATAAAAATTGCGATTTTTATCCAACGCAATCATAGCTTTGAACGTTGTTTTCAATTTGGACTTTTGTATATTTGAATGTATATGTATACTGTTTTACCAAACGTATGTACATATATGTTCTTGCACTATTATATTACTACTATTATTATATTGATGAAAATGTTATTATCATACTTAATCCATAGATTTCATACTGCTATACCATATTATGCTTATCATGCTTATTTATTTCACTTGCTTGATTATTGTTCCACAAGATAAATATATGTTATTAATTGAGATATGTAAACACCATACGACGGGACAGAGGGTATGTTACTGCTGAGAAATGGGAAATTGATAATTGGGAAGTTGAAGTCTTTGTTTTATAGTTTGTATTAGATTAAGTCAAGGTATGAAGCAGTCCTTCTGGTATCAGTAGTATCCTTAATTTCAAGTTCACTGGGATATATGAGATGCAAGTACTGACTGAAATATGGGTATTCAGTGATAGGACATCATCAATATATCTGAAAGTGAAATTAAAGAACTTCGCAAGGTGCTTTTTCTTTTTTGTCTTTTAGAAGGTTCTGAATGAATTCTGCTTCATACGAGTACAAAACCAAATCGGCCAGGAGGGGTGCACAATTAGTATTCCTTGGAAATATCAATCCTCCAAACTCAACAAATATGTTGTCAAACAAAAAGTCCAGCATTTTGAAACTATCATCTTTAGTGTATTTTTTGATAGAATCAGTGTGGATCTTCACAAAATAGGAATTATTATAACACAAAACAAGAAATGTATATCTACGATGTCCATTTTTATAGAAAAAGCTCTGTTTAATGAGATGGTGAAGTCGATTTTTCAATTGAGCATGGGGAATAGTAGTGTAAAGCGTAGAAAAATCAAAGGTCTTAATGTTGCTGGAAAATTGCAGAGATTGTGATCTCAAATTTAGCAGTAGATCTTTAGAATTTTTAAGAATCCACATCTGATGACACCACTGGTTAAATATATCTCATCGTAATATTTCTGAAGGCCATCTTTTACTGTAGAAAGGATTGTAGTCAGCACTTTAGAAAGATGTTTAGTCGAACATCTTGATGATCAAGCTTCGTCTTCTTTGATGTTAATACCAAAAGATTTGCGATTTTCTAAAATGTTATTCTTTGTAAATGATGTTAAAGAATATGTAGGATTACTAGTTTAGCTGTTTATTCCAAGCTCTTTTGTGAGACATTCCAAATAATGGTTTTTACATATGAAGACAATATTATTTGAGACTTTATCTGCTGGAACAACGACATATTTGTCAGGAAAAGATGATAAAGCATCCACAACCTCCGGGTTCTTGAACAGGTTAGAAACCCGTGTGTTCATAGTAAATCTCAGATTCTGAATGCGCTGCTGAATTCATGATCGAAAAGCTTTGATCCATTCAGACGCAGTGTCCAGTTCTGGTTCATCTGGTACTTGCTTTACCCATTTTCTGGCATAGTCCTCAACTGCATCCATCATTAACCTGAAGTTCTTTTTCCAGATGATGGGCTGGGGATTCTATATTTTGATCCCTTGGCTCCCTATACTCCGTAACTGCGAATATTCAACAATTGGTACTTTGTGTCTTTTGTCGATATGTAAACTGTTTTATTTGTTCGTACCGATCGAATGAGTCGATCCGTTTTCAATTGAATTTTTCAGTTTGTCATAATGTTGTGCTATTTCACTGTTGTCCCAGGTCAAGAGGAGTATTTTGCGCTTGCAAACATGTTTTACCGCGCCACATTCCTATGTTCATGTTTTAAGTCAAAAGCAATTAGTGAATTTAGTTGGTTGCTGTCTGTCATTTATGTTTTTCGAATTCTGTCTTGTAATGCCGTTGGATTTTTAGTTGAATTGCATAACATTTTGTCATTTCGGAGTCTTTTATAGCTGACTATGTGGTACGGGTTTTTGTTCATTGTTGAAGATCATAATTACTAAAATCTGCTTCATATGGACTTTGTTGAATAGTTGTCCCATAGGCAATCATACCACGTTTCCTTGTTTGTTTATTGATATGAATAACAGAGCGCAAGATAAAAGAACTTATTCAAGCCTCGTTAGATTCGAAGGGATAACTTCAACTTTACCACTTGGAGCCCTTAGTTCAAATGCTTCCTTGTAAACAGCAACACTCTTTCAAATAAACGATGGTACTTGTAGAAAACGCAAACTGCGGAATATTGTTTCATTCGGAAATATATACTCCGTATGCCATCGCTGCTTGGAGGTTTCTTCAAAAGAATGGAACGTTCACACAATTTGGAAGCTAAAGTCAAACCTTTTTCGAAAAGTTTTGTTTTCAATCGACCTTCTTTTCAATTTTTAGATTTAGATCAAGATATGAGTCTGACTTACCTGATTAAAGGAAAAATAGTCTATAGAAATAAGGAGATGCTGTATGAGTGCCAATGAGAAAACTCTCCATCCAAGTCACGATGTGTAAAAATTAAACAATTATAGGTCATAGAACGGCCTTCAACACGGATCTCTGGCTCACACCGAACAGCAAGTTATAAAGGGCCCCAAAATGACTAGTGAAAAACAATTCAAACAAAAACGAACGGTCTAATCTATATAAAAAACGAGAAACGAAAAATACTTACTGTATGAACCACATCAACAAACGACAACCACTGAACAATAGGTTCTTGACTTAGAACAGGTGCAAATAAATTCAGCGGGTTGAAACGTTTTAACAGGCGCCAATATCATTGCTTATATTTTTGATTCTGTAGATCTGTGATTTGAATATTATTATTTGATGTTTATTCAATCATGTTATCAAAACACTTTCCTATTCAGTTAGAGTTTTTTTTCAGCTGATTACAGAGAAAACTTTACGATGTGACAACAAACAAGATTTCACCATAAGCTATGAATTCTGTTGGGAGGAAATATTTATGTTAGAGATTTTATTCTACAGTCAAAACAAGCCATCTTCAGTTTTACCAACAATAAATGTACAGTCGCGAGGTACGACTTTTAACTTACATACCCAAAACTCGTTCAACATTTATGAAAACAGACAGTTTACACGTGAGGTAACAGACCTAGATCTTAATCCGGCTTAATCTAATAATAAAAACTAGATGGTATGAAAAAGCAAATAGTGCTGATTGTGGCGTAAAAACCAACAATCAGTAAATCAATCAAAAGGTTTCGTTCAAAAAGCATAAGTAAGTAAAATGTATAAAAAAAATACCGAATTCAAAGGTAAGTTAAAAAATTGGGAAATCTATAAAACCTTATAAAATCAAAACGCTCGACTATATCAATCTACGGAACAACTGGGAAACAACTTCTATAAAAGACCGCTTGGTTCAAAAGCGTCTTTGCTAAGCAGAGAATACAACAACAAAAAAAGAAAACCCGGATAAATAAAGTTACTCCCCTTCAATGATGTATAAACTACATCAAATACAGGTATTGCTGGATTTTTGCAAAATTAAAATGATAATAAATGAATTATTCAAAATAGGAAATGTGAAGACATAATTTGTCTTAAAACCTCCTTTTCATTCAACTCTTACTGTCAATCTCTTGGTTGACATGTGAACATCTGTTCACTACTGCTGCCTATATTTAAGTTAGGCAAACCTAAATACATCTGATTTATAAATATTCCAATATAAAACTAAGAAGATGTTGTATGATTCTTGTAGTGTCGTATGTGTTTCATTATCACCTTTTTGTATATTTATTTTTTTTCATTTCAATCAAGGTTAATACCGTAGACAGTTTTATGTGTCCGTAATATTTATGCAATTACTTTATTTGTTTTTTAAACTGTTGTCCGATGCAAAATTATCCTACACATGATTTTTAAAATTCTTACAAATGAGTTAAGCCCTTTTTTGACTGATTTTTATAATTTGTTTTTATGTTTTACTTTTACACCATTTCCCCAGGTTCAGGGGGGTTTGGCGCCAGCAAATTAATATAACCCCTTCACTTTCTGTATGCGCCTGTCCCAAGTCAGAGCTTGTAATTCAGTGGTTGTCGTTTGTTTTTCGTTCATTGTTTTGTTCGTCAATCAGACCGTTAGTTTTCTTGTTTGAACTGTTTACATTAGTCATTTCTGGGCCATAAATAACTGACTATGCGGTATGGGTTTTGCGCATTGTTGAAGGCCGTACGGTGACTTACAGTTATTAACTTCTGTGTCATTTGGTTTCTGATGGAGAGTTTTCTCATTGGCAACCATACCATATCTTCTTATTTTTATATTCAACTGTTTGAATAGGTAGAATCTAAAGACTTTATTTATGTTAAGTGACTATTGTGTCCTGAAATAGTACAATCCGTTATGGGCTGGAGGTAAATCTTGATATCCATTTCAAATGAATTGCATAGGTTTTACAAAAGTTTCCATATCGTATTTATTTTGTAAATGTATTCTTAATTACTAGATAGTTCATCAAATTTAATTTTGAATCCATACTGAATCATAGAAAAAGGGGTTTGAACCGACCTCCAAACTACCCAAGATTCTGTATTGAAGAGTACCTAAATTGCATCCATTTTTAAATTCACTTCCATAAAAATCAAATAAGTGATGCGTCCAAACGTAAACGGGAAATTAAAAGGGGTAAAAACAAGGAAATGAAATGTATAAAACATGAAAAAGGAATGTTAAGATAAAGAACAGTAAAAGTCCTGTCCTCTCAATAAAAACTAAGCTGTTGACATACATGCCGCAAATGAATTAACTCGATTTCAATTTTTTTTTTATGAAATGTTAAAGGGGTTTATCATTGGAGCAAATGAATTTCTTTGCATATGCATAGATTAAGATACCGTTAAATTAATCGAGGAAATACTTAATTATTGGAAAATGCAAATCTGATCGAAATTGATCGGTGATATAAATACGTTAAGTGCCTCCAAACATCATCAATACTTTTCTAGAAAACATATATTATAGATGTTCAAAAATTTGATATATAGTTTGTGAAAACACGAAAACCTAATTTGTCAAATAAAACAAATATGCTTGACCTAGTACTTATGATGGAATTTAAAAGATAATTAAAAAATTGTTGTAACGTATTTACACATATATACTAAAACTTCAATGTATGTCGAAAATATCACCTGAAATTCATTTTTAAAGAAACTTACTCGTCGTTCTTTCTAAAGCTGAAATTCATGTAAAACAGTGGGTGTCTATTTGTTAATACAAATTGATAATTTATTTTATATTAAGCTGTCAAAAAGCTATCACTTTAACTTCTTTTTATGAATGATATACTGAAACAGTGTATGTCTGAAAATTTTCAACTTGTTTTCTTTTAGCACTTTAAATATGAAATCGTTTACATATGACATATATGGTGTATATTCCAATTTTAAATATATTTTCAAAATATTGATACGGATTGGCTTTCAGGCTTTGTTTATTTTTGATCTACTGAAATATTGTAGAGCATTTTATTGTTAATATCTTTTCCTTCACTTTGTTTATTTCGCCATCTCAATTTATCCTTACACATACTGATTTTACTATTAACGGAGTTTTCTTTCTTTAAAACTTTCTGATATGTAAACATCTGTTTACTACTGCTGCCTATATTTAAGTTAGGTTTGAAACTTTACACGAAGTAGCCAAAAATGTACATTACGATAGTATTAAAGATTTTCTGATCAATTTTTTCCAAACCATTGTTAATTTTCTTTTTCCCCCTGTTTTAATTAAGGATTTCATGTTATTATTTTTGGTTCCCAATTTAACTTTTCACCTTCTTGTCTGTAATGACCAAAATAAATGTCTAAAGCTTTAACGGGTTGTCCGTCCAGCGTATGCTCTCAATTTTATCTATGCTATTTTAAGCGCCCCAATCAAAATTCCTTCTGGTTTACTGCGATATAACCTCAGACTTGAGAAAGAACCAAATGTTTCAATTATATTCAAAGCTTTTGAGTTATCTGTTTTTGAACTACAAAAAAGTGTTGTATCGTCAGCGAATTGTGATATGTTTATGCTATGTGTTTTATTATCTATAGTAATCTGAATACCTTTAATGTCCGAGGTTTGCCTTAATCGCTCGGCCATAATTTCGACTGATAAAACAAAAAGTAAAGCAGATAAAGGACATCCTTGACGGATTACTCTAGAGTTTTCATAATAACACATTTCTGTATTCCCTTATATCATGTATATAGTGTGTCCACCCATGATATGAATGTTTCCTTAAAACCAAAATGCTTTAGAACGCTTAAAATGAATTCCTATTCCATAGACTCAAAAGCTTTTGTAAAATTTACAAATATGATAGCCCCGTTTATTCCGTATGATTCTGCATAGTTGATTTTATCTTCGATTTGCCTAAAATTAAATCCAATAAAACTTTATTTACATATCCGGTTTGATCTTCATTAATTAGTTTAGGAAGAAGCTTTATTAGTTTTTTACGTTAAATAATGATATTGCACGATAATTGTCTAAAGATAATTGTTCATTTTTGTTAAATGATAAAGATAGAAAACATATTCGTTGTGTATATGAAAGAAGTTTTTCCTCATTTCCCTTATTTAGAACTTTAACTAACATTTTTTTTAATTTTTCTAAGAATGTCTTATGAAATTCCAATGTTTAAACATCTAGACCAGGTGATTTATTTAGCTTCATCGTCTTAATATCATTAGTACATTCATGCATAGTAACCTCCCCGTCCCATTTTTTTTTTTTTAAAGTTTTCTACGTTTATCTCCCTTTCCATTACAGTATCAGCTACATATTTATGTAGCAAATTTTTATCTGGACACGTGGTTGTATATAATCCTTTATAATAAACTTTTTTTATTTCTAAAATTTGTTCCTGATTTATTGTTACCTCGTTGTTTTCATTTTTGAGTTTGTTAATAGATTTTTTATATCAATTAGTATTGTAATTTTCATTGTTATTGATAAATGTTATATGAGTATTATAAACCAAATCTTGAATGCTATCCTAATTTTATCCTTTTTTTGGGAAATTTCAGAAATTCAAATGTGACGTCACCTTTTTTTAGCGTTGATCTCTTTGGCTAACTCGGCTGTGAATTTTTATGTGCTGGTTTATGTTGTTTTTTGTATCCGTTTTTATTCTGTAGTTAGTCATCACTTCGGTGTTATCATGTATATCTATTATATAGTCATTTTTATAAATTTACTGTTTGCAAAAGTATGAATTATTCTAAATACTAAGGATTTTCTTATCCCAGACATATAACCTTAGCCGTATTTGACACAACTTTTTGAAACTTTCGGTCCTCAATACTCTTCAACTTTGTACTTGTTTTGGCTTTCGTACTTTTTTGATCTGAGCGTCACTGGTTAGTTTTGTGTGGACGAAACGCGCGTCTTGCGTATTAAATTTTAAACCTGGTACCTTTTGTTAGCTATTATTCGTATGTTTCTCTGTCCTATATGTTCTCCCATTTATTTGTATTGTAGTCCTGTCATGTAATGTTGTCATTTTAATGTTATATTTAACATTGCCATAAAAGCGGGAGGTTTGGCTAGCCACAAAACCAGGTTCAACCCACCATTTTTTTCTTAAAAATGTCCTCTACCAAGTCAGGAAAATGGCAATTGTTATCGTATAGTTTGTTTCTGTTTGTGTTGCATTGTCGTTTGTTGTGTGTTTACTTCAGTGTTTCTGTTGTTTCGTTGTCCAAATGTACTTTATTGTATTGTTCATTTGCGTAATTCTCTGCCCGTAATGTTGTACTGTATTCATGTCATGTAATGGTGTCATTTTAGTGTTATATTTAACATTGCCATAAAAGTGCGAGGTTCGGCTAGCCACAAAACCAGGTTCAACCCACCATTTTTTTCTTAAAATGTCCTGTACCAAGTCAGGAAAATGGCCATTATTATATTATAGTTTGTTTCTGTGTGTGTTACATTTTAATGTTATGTTTCTGTTGTGTCGTAGTTCTCCTCTTATATTTGATGTGTTTCCCTCAGTTTTAGTTTGTAACCCGGATTTGTTTTTTTTTTTCTCAATCGATTTATGAATTTCGAACAGCGGTATACTACTGTTGCCTTTATTTTAACTTGTCGCTATTTTTCTAATCCTAGAAAAAAAGCGTTATTCTTTTCGCCTTCTTCTATCAAATTTTACCTTGACCTTATTTGAGCCACCTTTGCCTTATAATCATACATAGTTCAAATTGTAACTCTTATTGTTTTATATTATTTGTTAGATTTTCATCTTCGTTTTATTGTTCATCTCTATGTGGCGTAAGGTGTACCAATTGGCTTCTAATTTTCTTGTTGTCTCCCTAGATAATTTCGATTTTCCTTTACAGTAGAAATATATTCGTCCCTATTTTCGGTTTTTAGATTGTCCCATAATTCGATAGACGGATATCGCTACTGTCACTATTGATTATACGATTTTCGAACTTATTAATTTCTCTATTGATTGTTCTCTTATATAAAATATCTTTTAAAATAGAATTATTTAATTTCAAGTACCCATTCCCTCTTTCAGAAGTCCATGTCCGAAAGTTTAATACTTGATGTTCAGTCACTTTAATCAGTGCTGGTTTAATTTTACTATATTCAACAAGAAATTGAAATTCTTTTCCAATTAGAATTTATCCTACTTGTTTGTGTCTTATCCTGTCTTCTCCATGTAAACTGGTGTGTGCTTTCATGTGAAAAACGCAAAATATCTATAAAATTATGATTTTTCATAAAAGCTTTTAAACTGTCAACAGGCTCAGAAAGTTTTTTTTTTTTAAACCTGTCCTATCTATATTCATTAACGCTTCATTGAAATCGCCGGCTATCAGAGTAATGCCTATAGAATTTTCATAAGTGTTAATAACTGAACAACTATAAGGAGGAATATTATTCAACAAAAATGCTATTTATTCATACAAACCTTATCTGATTATTCAGATTTTATGGGTTTACTGTGTAACAAGCAGGTTCATAGGGATCCAAAACAATAATTCTAAATTTTTTTTATTCAACAAGATTCATTTGCGTAGTAACTATTTACTATGTAACACATTATGGCACTGTTTCAAAATGGGCTTGTAAAAGCCAAAGAAATACCATGGTGAAAATTAAGTAAGAACCTAAAACTGTTAAACAGAAATTGATTTTCTCAGATTGCTTATTACCTCATCCGACTTAATCCTTTGGATGTGTACTGATTGAAATTTTAGCCCGAGAAAACATGATTTATCTATTAGTTGCATGTTATTGGCAGTAGCTGCGAGTACTTCAAATATGGTTACTTTTTTTCTTTCACTTATTTTTACATTTTGTTCTAATTTTGTTCTGATTCATCACTGTTACAGGTCTGAGTGAAGGTTATTTTTGTTGTTACTGCTGCATAAATCATACCGTATATTTTCTCGTTTAGCATTTTTCGATCCGGGGCATCTTCTAGCTTACTATAACTATACAATATAAGCTTAGCTCGTTATTCAAGGCCGTACGGTAACGTAAAGTTCTTTTCATCAACGTCTGCTGGTCTCTGCTGGATCGTTGTCCCAGCGGCAAGCATATCACATCTCCTTTTTTTTAAATTTAGGAGAACAACAAATAATTTGCCAATAGAGTATATATATAGGGAATGGAAGTTTAACAATGTTCAAAACTCATAAATCGATGAAGGCAAATCAAGGCAAAAATCAAAAACTGAGGGAAACGCATATACTCTTAAAAGGAACGAGACAGGGTGAGTCGACATGCTTAACGTCTCGTGTACGCTATGTTTACATAACCCGCCATGCGAATCCACTCAGTCAAAATATCACAATCTGGGATGGGACACAATCGATACTATTACAGATTGTATGACTAGTCGAAACATTTTAGACTGCAAAACACGTCGCAAGTGAGTTGAGACACAGACTTGTTGTATCGGTCAACCAATTTGTGATATTCATCGTAAAGCTTTTAAAGGGTCAATTTGATTTGTTTTCCTCGATAACTCTTTTGGAGCAGTTTTTTTGTGTAAGGAGCATACCCCTGACAATGAAGTCTGTATAATATGAACATTTGCGAGCGGAATGTCTCGATTGAGATATGTAAACATCTCAACAATGCCGAGAATTGGTCAGTTGATAAATGGATAAGTTAAAATTACCATGGTTGTCATAGATTCTAAGTTGAGGTGGAAAAGCATTACATGACGCGTAATATATTGATAGTGTTATAATATAATTATCTCTACTTCGGATTGAACTATTCATATGATTGATGTTTTGTATTAACCTTTTCACATCTAGCATGTGAATAAAACTACTTCAAAGATATATTTTATTTTCATTATATCGTTTATATCAGCAAAACGATATATATTCTATTTTTTTTAGTATTAATTGGCTCAAAATATCCGGCACTAAGTTTACATGACCTGGAAACAATGACAATACAGATGGATGAATGCAGATGTAGTAATGTTCCCAACTGTAGGAAATGTATAGCAACATTACACCAAATGTATCTTGATTTCCTTCGAATTTTGATTGGCAATAATAAGAATAATAATAACAATAATAACGGCAAAGATGCCATCAAGGAAGAATCAAGTTCTGCTAGTGTTGGTAAGTATGTACTATATATCTTTCTCTGTACAAAACAAAAGCATATGACAAGACATAAAACATTAACGGTACCAATTTTTCTGCCCCAGATGCGCATTTCTACAATAAATGTGTCTTCAATGATAATATGCAAATTACTGCAACGTGAATCTTTTTCTGGTAGTTAAGTTCTGCAATTTTTTGGAACAAATCTGTTTGCGTTTCTAATCCCCCAAAATATCAATATATGCCAGGTGATATTTTCTAATTTCACTGTATTTTTATGGTGTAAGAGTTTGTATTAAACTGTTTCTACACAATTTGAGTTTTTTTCGATATTCTAAATTTTTGAAACCAGATCTATTTAAATTGAAAATGGTTTAAATTAAATTTCTAGGTAAGAAAAAAGAACATGTTAAAACAATAACACAAATAACATGCAAATTAAAGATTTGTCTTTATATATCATTAAACGTGACGGTCCTTGGTCAGGTGAAAACAATCTTCAAACAATAATTAGTTTACGTGTATCTTCGTTATCTCTGACCAACACAATTGATGAGTCAGATCATAACTTTTTTTTTTTTAAAAGAATTTGTCTACCATAAATATCATTTGAACACCTTTGATAATTTGTTGTGTATATAAACAATTTGAAACATATGTTATTTTAAACCCGTCTAAGACGGGACGTATTATGATATACCGTTTTCCGTCCGTCTGTCAGTCCGTCCGTCCGTCCGTCCGTCCGTCCGTCGTCAATACTTCGGACAATAACTCAAAAACTATTTCACCAATTTTCATGGAGGTTTGGTAAATTATTTATATCTATTGACGCAAGCCCCATTTTGATTTTTATAGATTTAGGATTTTATGTTTCCGAGTTATGGGATTTTATTCATAAAAATTGGTGTTTTTTCCAGTTTTTTACTATAACTTAAAGTTGCTTTGAGCAATTTTCATGAAACTTTGGTGAATTGTTCATATAAATTGACGGAAGTTCCCTTTCAATTTGAAAAAATTTTTTTTTTAAGTTTTGGAGAATTAGGACTTTATTCATAAAAAAGTGGATTTTTTCAGTTTTTGGACAATAACTAAACAATGCTTTGAGCAGATTTTATAAAACTTTGGTGACATGGTCATATCTATTCAAAGAAGCTCCCTTTTGGTTTTATTTTGAAAAATCGTCGAAAATCACAGTATTTCTAGTTGATCACATAAATTCATTTAAAGCATAAAGACGAGCTAAAAGGGCGCGACGGGCGTTTCATGCGCTCATGATGCAGCTCTTTATTCCTGTTTGAAAGAATCAATGGGAAAAAGATAACAATACTTAAATAATTTACTAAACATGATTGTAGCAACTATTTATCTTATCATTTATCAATCTTTTCTGGACATATAAGACTACTACATGTATTTATCAAGGTAACAAGGTGAACCTGATGTATTTAATTTACCTTTAACAGTCGAGGCAAATAGGAAATTGCATAATATTATGATATATCCTAATCTAACACATTATTATGAAATTTCATAATATTAGTTTATCGGATAATTTTGTAACTATATTATGGGATTTCGTAATTCACAAAATTATGGAAATACATAAGATAAGAAAATTTTTATAATTTTAAATATTTTTTTCGGTCGTTTTTTTGGCCCCGTGACTAATTTTGGGAAATTTCTAGAAAAAAAAAGTTATTTTTGAGTGGCGTTTATACCAGGTCATAATAAACAACTGTCAGATTTTCGTCGACACGCCTTAAATTCTCCCGACACTACCCTCTTTGTTTGTTGGAAATAATTTAACAAAGGGAGACAACTAGTATCGGTTCAAACTACAACTTGCGGTTATAGTTCTTTGATAAATCGATGTTTTAAAAACTAATCTAAGGTTGAAGATGTGTTTTTATTATATTTCTAATCTAATTTGCATGTGATTTACAGCTGCATACTTCACTTTCATTGTTGAAATCTTAAATTATCTAGTTTAAGACGTTTGAAATGAATATACTTAAAACAAATTTTACAGGTTTTTCTAACCAATTGTCTGTTGTCATGTTGAAACAATAAAATATCAAAACACCAAATAAAATATTATCTAGCAAAGTTCATTTAATGCATAACGATGTATTTGTTCACTAAAATAATGACCATGTAATCACATTTTATCAAGTTGTATTGAACGTTATTATCATACTTGACTTTTTATACTAATGAATGCAATGTATATGTTTGCATTTTGTTTCATTTTCATGATGAGGGCCTCAGGGAAGATTAGTTAAATAGCTAACTGTGTAACCCTCTTAAAATAAAGTATTGTTGTTGTTGTTGTTGTTGTTGTTGTTGACAAATAACAAAAATATTTAACAACCTTAATCAAATGTCTGATCTTAATTTTATAAATAGCGATATTTTCTTTACCGCGTGTAGAAACTCTATATATTTTTTTAATTTGAGAATTATTTTTCAAATATTTTACAGTATTCTTTTGTTGATTTAGCAACTGCTAATTGGATCATGGAAGTATTATATTGTCAATATAAACTACTTCCATGATCGGATAATTATGATAAGATTACATCGGAAGATACGGCATTTAAGTGCATAACGATGTATCATGGTTTATTTTCATCACTGCTGTCAAGATATGTAGCGTGTACAACATGTAATAACAACTCACCTTGGCATAATTAAACAACAAAATTTATTGTTTACAAACGAAACGATTGCAGAAAATTTATTTTGTAGTAGGAGTATTTGTTTTAAAAAAAGATACATATTTTTAACGAAACAATTGCTATATTACGCAAACGTTTTGATTTAAATGTTTCATTAAGTTTTGAATATTTTATAATTGTAAACTTTTATATTGAATGTACATTTTATGTTTATTATATAATTTGAAAGTGGTGTTTTGTAAATATCTGCATTTGCAAGTCCGTCTGACAGCAAAAGTTGTTTGTGATTTAGTTAAGGAAGAGAGCATAAAAACAGGCAAAATTATTATAATAAATATACATAAGAATAATGTTATACTTGTATTACAATTATACACAAATTTAGAAATCCCCCCAAGGGTGACTGGGGAATAGAAGTATGGTCACCATTGGTCTTCCTCCGACCGGCAGTAAAACCCGTGCTAAAGTGGGGCGTCCGTTTGGCTGTGCGGGATGTACAAATTTGCAGCCACGTCCGGTCAGAATGGGGACGTTAAATCCGATGCCTCGTGTAAAGAGAGTGCCACGCTCATTGCACGTTAAGAACCCTTGCAACAACTCTTTGAGGGGTCCGTAGGTGACCTGTTGCAAGGCTAAATTTCTGTCCTTATCCAATATACCCTCATTTCCCGTGGCAGTCTAAATTTCTCCGAATACTGGACGTTAAGCAACCAACAATCAATCAATCAATCAATCAATCAAATTTAGAAATATTTTTGTATCAAAAAATTATATAAATTTAGCTTGAAAATTGATATGGCATAGAACAATTTTAATTGAAAGACAAATGTAATTAAAATATTGATCTCTGATTTCGTTCTACTATATATGACTATATATGTAGTATAACAAAATCAGAGATTCTACTTTTATTTCAATATAGTTGAAAAAGACTACGTTTTCTATAATTTTGATTTACATTGAAGTGGCAAAGTAGGGTAGAGCCACAAAAAAGTTCATACAATTCATAAATTGCGGAACTCTGGTGTCAAGTAGACAAAACGATCTTTCGGCTTCAAAATGATTTACTTTGAAAAAGTTAAAAAAAAAATGTAGTGCCGATATACGAAATTGTTTGTCAAATGTCAGTATATGATAAAGTTTCTTTAATAAAAAAAAATATGGGGATTTTGAATTTCAACTAGTAAGGAGATTATTTAAGATGCTTGCGTAGAAAATTATTGTAGACTAAATAATTATGATAATAAGAAATCTTCATATTATACATTTATTTCAATATGGTAGCTTGTAAAGATCTAACCAATCTTTCAGGTATAAAACCACTAATTCATAGCCCCATTGCTTTCTATGTTAAATTCTGCAATTTCAAGCATTAATGGCTACTTAATCTTAAGTTCAAATAAAGTGGCAGTTATTTCATGTCAAAACTGTATCTTATCCTGACTTGTGCTGAAAAAATCAACATACCTTTAATTGCATATAAGAGCGTACTGGTTCCCGGAAGTTTGACAGTACAAAAACAAGAACTTCAAATCTGAACAACAGGGCAAATGTGCCCTCCTATCATAATTTCATTGACTTCTTTATTTTTCAAATAAATCTTTCAACTAGGGTTCTACAGTGATTCCAAGTCCCCAAGCTTTCATTTGATACAAAAACTACCCAAAGATATCCACTATTGACAAAGATACAGCTATGCGTAGGAATTATTTTGTTCAAAATATGTACTTCTTTCTTGTATGTTCTTTCAGACCGGGCCTGAGTTAGTGGTTTTATACCTTCACAATGATGCTCAAACAAGCGCTTACTTTGAAAATGTTTTAACCTGCTACATTAGCAGGGACCCCAAAGGAAGTATGGCCACGTAGTCTTCTTTCGACTGGCAGTAAAACGCTTGACAAAGTCTTTTATGCTGTGCAGGATGTACGTATTTGCAGTCACATCCGGTCAGAATTAGGACGTAAAATCTGATGCCGCGTGTAAAGAGACTGTAACTGTAATTCTACATTGACAATAATATCTTTGTGTACATTTGATACTACCATTTGTACTAACGCCCTCAAGGTGTATATAAAACAAACAAGTATAAATTAATGTCTACAGCAACGGCGATAATACATTTAGTACGCCAGACGCGCGTTTCGTCTACATAAGACTCATCAGTGACGCTCATATCAAAATAGTTGTAAAGCCAAACAAGTACAAAGTTGAAGAGCATTGAGGATCAAAAATTCAAACAAAGTTGTGCCAAATACGGCTAAGGTAATCTATTCCTGGTATAAGAAAATCCTTAGTTTTTCGAAAAATTCAAAGTTTTGTAAACAGGAAATTTATAAA